TCTGACAAGTATATGCTAATATATTAAATAGCTTAGATGAAATGGGCAAATTCCTAGAAGGACACAAACTACTACAAATGAATCAAGAAGAAATAGAAAATCTGAATAGACCTATAACAAAAGTAGAATACGCAATCAAAAGACTACCCACAAAGAAAGGCCCATACTCAGTTTCACTGATGAATTCTACCAAACATTTAAAGAATACCAATTCTTCACAAACTCTTCTAAAAGGTGGAAGAAAAGAAAGAATTTGCAACTCATTCTACGAGGCTGGTATTACCCTGATCGCAAAACCACACAAACACATCACATGAAAAGAAAACTATAGACCAATATTTCTTATGAATACAGATGCAAAAATCCTAAACAAAACTCTAACAAACTGAATCCAGCAACATATAAAAAATATTATTCCCCACGACCAAGAGGGATTTATCCCAGGAATGCCAAGTTGGTTCAACATCTGAAGTTCAATTAACTCATCATAGAATAAAGGGCAAAACTACATGATCATTTCAAAATGCAGATAAAGCATTTGACAAAATTAAACACCACTTCTTTTTTTTTTTTAAGATTTTATTTATTTGAGAGAGAGCGTGCGCGCATGAGTGGGGGGAGGGGCAGAGGGAGCGGGAGAAACAGACTCCCTGATGAGTGGGGAGCCTGACTCGGGGCTAAATCCCAGGACCCTGGGATCATGACCTGAGCCAAAGGCAGATGCCCAACTGACTGAGTCACCCAGGCGCCCCTAAACATCACTTCTTAATAAAAAACAACCAATAAACTAGGAATCAGAATGAACTTCCTCAACCTGATAAAGGGTATCTTAGAAAAAGCCACAGTTAATATCATACTTAAAGACGAAAGACTGAATGTTTTCCCCCTATGATCAGGAACAAGACAAGGATGTGTATTCGTGAATTTCTATTCAACACTAAGAGAGGTTCTAGCCAGGATTACTATGCAAGAAAATGAAAAAAATAAAAGGCATAGAATAGAAAGGCAGAAGTTAAGCTATATGCAGATGACATAGTTTGTAAATAGAAAATCCTAAAGAATCAACCAAAGTCTTGGGATACAAGATCAATATACAGAAATCAATTGTTTTCTATACACTTGCAATGAGCAATCCAAAAATGAAAGTAAGAAAATAATCCCATTTTATAACAGCATTAAAAAGAATGAAAATACTTGGAGTAAATTTAACAAAAGAAGTGTAAAACTTAAGCTTTGAATGCTACAAAACACTGTTGAAAGAAATTAAAGACCTAAACAAATGGGAAGACACTCCATGTTCATGGATCAGATGATTTAACTGTTAAGCTGGCAATACTCCCCCAGTCGGTCTACAGATTCAGTGCAATCCCCAACAACATTCCAGATGGCTTCTTTTGAGAAACTGACAAATTGATCTTAAAATTCATATGGAAATACAAGGGACCCAGAAAGCCAAAACAATCTTGAAAAAGAGAAAGTTGAGGGACTCAGACTTCCAATTTCAAAACTTTCTATAAAATACAGTAATCAAGACAGTGTGGTACTGGCATAAGGATAGACATATAGATCAATGGAATAAAATTCAGAGTCCAGAAATAAACCCTCATTTCTACAGCCAATTGATTTTTGACAAGAGTGCCAAGACCATTCAATGGAGAAAGAATAGTCTTTTCAACAAATGGTACTGGAATGACTGGATATCCACATGCAAAGAATAAATTTGTTCCTCTACCTCATACCGTATATGAAAACTAACTCAAAATGTATCAAAAACCTAAATGTAAGAGCTAAAAATATAAAACTTTTAGAAGAAAACATAGCCATAAACAATCTTGGCTTTGGCAATGGATTCTTTGGCATGATGCCAAAAGCATAAGCAACCAAAGAAAAAATAAATTGGACTTCATCAAAATTAAAAACCTTTCTGCTTCAAAGGACATCATCAAGAAAGTGAGAAGACAGCCCACAGAAAGAAAGAAAACATTTGCAAATCATATATTTCATAAAGAACTTATAACTGGAATATATAAAGAAAATTCTTACAAAAAAATGATATAAAAACAACTAAAAATGGACAGATGATCCAAATAGACATTCTTCCAAAGATCTGCAAATGGCTAATATACACATGACAAGATGTTAAATATCATTAGTCATTAGGGAAATGCAAATGAAAACCCTAATGAACTACCATTTCATACCTGCTAGGATGGGTATAATCAAAAGGACAGACCATAAGAAGTATTGCAAAGGATGTGGAAAAATTATAACCATTATATGCTGTGGGTGGAAATGAAGAATGGCACAGGCACTTGGGAAAACAGTTTGGGAGTTTCTCAAAATGTTAAACATTGAGCTACCATATGACCCAGCAATTCTATTCCTAGGTATATACCCAAGAGCACCAAAAACACATGTTTATTTATTTGTTTGTTTGTTTTAAGGATTTTATTTATTTGACAGAGAGAGATATAATGAGAGCAGGAACACAAGCAGGGGAAGTGGGAGAGGGAGAAGCAGGCTTCCCGTGGAGCAGGGAGCCCAGTGCGGGGCTCGATCCCAGGACCCTGGGATCATGACCTGTGCTGAAGGCAGATGCTTAATGACTGAGCCACCCAGGCACCCCAAAACCATGTGTTTACACTACAACTTGTACATGAATGTTCATAGTAGCATTGTTCACAGTAGTAAAAAGGCAGAAACAACCCAAATGTCTATCAATGAATGAATGGATGAATACGATGTGGCATATTCTGACAATGGAGTATTATTCAGCGATGAAAAGGAATGAAATTCTGATTCTTGCTATGACATGAACTTTGAAAACACTATGCTGAATGAAAGAAGTCAGACAGAGAAGACTCCATGTGGTCTGATTACATTGATAGGAAATGTCCAGAAGAGCCCAAATCTATAGAGACAGAAAGTAGATTAGTGATTGCCTAGGGCTGGGGAGGTAGTGGGTAGGGTAGTCACAACTAATGGTTTGGAGGGGGGATATGAAAAATGTTCTAAAATTGATAGTGGTGATGGTTGTACAGCTCTGTGAATATACTGAAAACCAATGAATTATATCCTTTAAACTGGTGAATTGTGTGGTCTGTGAATTATAGGCTCAATAAAACTGCTCTTTTAAGAGAATGATCCAGGAAAAGAGTTTGGCATTTCCTCAAATAGTTAAACATAGAATTACCATATGACCTGGCAATTTCATTCCGGGGTATATACCCCCAAAGAACTGAGAACAGGAACTCAAGCAAGTACACACACATGCTCATGTTCATAGCAGCACTGTTCCCAGTAGCCAAACAGGTGGAAACAACCCAAATGTCATCAATAGATGAATGGATAAACAAAATGTGGTCTATACATACAATGGAATACTATTCAGCCTTAAAAAGGAATGAAGTATGATAGATGCTACAACATGAATGAACCTCAAAAACATGCTAAGTGAAAGGAGGCAGAGGTTACCCGACATAGCCAGAATCAGTAAATTCACAGAGACAGAATACAACACTAGTGGTTGCCAGGGGCTAGAAGGAGAGGGAAATAGGGAGAAACTGCACAGTAGATAAGGGGGTTTGCTTTGGAGTGATGAAAATGTTTGGAACTAGACTAGAAGGGATGGTTACACAACCTTGTGAAGGTACCAAATGACACTGAAATGTCCCCTTTAAAATGATTAATTTTGTGTTATGTGAATTTCACCTCGGTAAATTAAAAGATAAACCAATCCCAAAATCTAAGGCAACATTTCCATTTACCTGCAACATTTTAAAAGTTGAGAAGTATTTCAAAAAGAGAGAATTTACTTTTGCAAGTTGGGCGTGGCCTTTTTTTTTTTTTTAGTAACCTGAGAAATTTGGCTAAATTTAAAGAACTCTGGATAATCCTAGATATAAAAAGAATATTACTCCCTTTGCTCTCTTATAATAAATTATTACCATGGAATTAGCTCAGTTGGAGCTTTTGAAAGACTTACAGATTTGAAAGAGTTAGTACATCTCCCGTGTCCCTACTGTGGGAGATCAGCTTTGCTAACTCACCAGCACAAGTCAGCTGGGAGGCAGAATAGCATTTGATTCCCAAGAAAAAACATCACATGCTAATTAGTATAGAGTACTCTGCATCCTAAACTGTCCATCTTAAGCCTGAGTAAACTTCCAAAAACAAGACATGGAAAAGAAACTGGGAAAATTATCTATAACCTAGACGCGAAAAGAATGGAGTTTAAGAGCAAATTATTCACATAATCATCCCAGTTTGTTTATTTTTATTTTTATTTGCTTGTGGAGACTATGTCCCTTAAACACTCAAGTGAGTTGCAAACTAGATTTTAGTAGGTATGTGAAAGAACTTCAGTACAAAATAAACAAAGGCAATATTTAAGCCTCTAATTATATGGGGATCGTGGGGGGCATGTCCTCTATGTAGAAACAACACACTTTTCGGGAAGCAGATGATCTTGCGTTTCCCAAATTCCACCCGGAATAGTCTAAAAACGTGGGGCAAATCTCATGAAGTTCTGTGTTGAATAGCTATAAAAAATAATCCAATCACTGAGTTACAAAATCTAATAAAAAGTCAATGCTGCAGCTAAATGCCACATAGGTACGGATATAGCTATTTATAAACATATTGAATAAACAGAGATAAATTTACAGAGGCTTTCTTGTTCCCTGCCACTGAATTTGAAATGGAGATTTTTTGTATTGGTACGTTTTCAGCTGAAATCAAATCAAACATAAGCTCTCTCTTAGATAATACTTTATGGTACCTCGTAAATTCAAAGCTACATCTTCCTAAAGGTAGTTCCCCGTGTTATGCCAATATTCAGCCTTCAATATTCAGCTCAAGTGATGGTGCCTTGTGCCCAAGCGCATGGGGCTGCTGGAGAAGCAAGTAACTGCCCGGGGAAAGGGGAGAGGGCGAATCTGGCTCACTCTCGCTGGGCTCCCCATTCATTCAGGAAGACAGGCACCCCCGCTGGCACTCACCTTTCTCAGATTTCCTGTCTTTCCTTGAAGACGAAGTGCCACAGCCCATGTCTTCTAAATCATGTGTGCTCATGAATTTAACTTCTCATTCCAAAACAGTGTGAAAAGTGCCTCCCTCTATGCTGCGAGGAGCCACTCCTAGCCGATCCACCTCAGTCATAGATCCTGCTGAGGAAGACACGGGAGGCAGGGGGGCGGCGGGGCGGGGGGGGGGGGGGGGGGGAGGAAAGCACCCGTTAACAGCAAGGTATCTGAGGGCTGCTCAGCAGCATTCATTTTATGCTTCTTCGCAACTGCTGTTCAGCATGTGATGCGGAAAATGATCAGGCATAATCTAAGCCGGGTGCATTTTCCAAAACACAGCCGCAGCACCCGAGCAGCTATTATAGATTGCTTTTGCGCTACACATAAATTATATTTTCCCCGTGTTGAGGTCTGATCGAGGTCTGTATAAAATAAAGCATTAAAAATGAAAGGGAAAACGGAAATGTAAGAGCGTACGGTTTTCTAATTGAAATATAGGGACTGGGATCTGAAGGACCTGATCTAATTTAACTGTTTGGGTTGTAAGCACAAAATAATTAAATCTATCTGGGCTTTTAGAAACACAGATTGGAGACGGACTATGAGACAAAACAACATATTTAAACAACTCTGCCAAAACTCAAATCAAAGTGAGTTCCTCAACACTATTTCTCAGAATCAGCTGGAGAGCTTGTTTTAAAAAAGCAGGCTCGAGGCCTCCCCCCAGACTAGGGTGTCACAATCGGAGGGGAGGGAGCCGAGCGCCCTTTTTGTTTGTGTGTGTTCTTTTTTTTTTTTTTTCAGTAAACTCTATGCCCAAAGAGGGCTTGAACTCACGACCTGTGATCAAGAGTCCAGTCGGCCCTTTTTAAATAAGCCGTCCACGTGTTTCTGAGACACCCTCCCCTCCCGGGTCTATCCTCATGCTCATCAGCCGAAACTGCTAAACTGGATTTTAGTATTCCATCCACCTCGTGGCTTTTTGGGGTGACACTTCCTTTATTTTCTATTGCTCCAAACCAGCCGGATCTAATCGATTTGCACTGCTTGATAGGAACAAAATCAGAGAACAACTGACTTGAGACCCTACCAGGGCTGTTTTTCCATTAGCAGTACACAAAAGCCTCCAAATTTTGACTCAACTAAAGAAAGAGAACAAATAAAACGAGCACAATATTTGAATTACAGAAATATTGTTAAAACAATAATAACCTTAATAAACAGATATTCTGCTCAGACCTAGGCCTGATGCTTTTATGTATGGTATGAATTAAGCCTCCTAAACGTTGGGTTATCTCCAAATTTGACAGGCATTTCTTTCATATCTTTCTTACCTACAACCTGGATAAAAAATGTTAACAAGGTCAGCTCCAAGGGCACAACAGCTCCTGTAGCGTTCCAACGCGGCCCATTCTCCAGGGTTACTGCAGACCCATTACATTCATACTCTGAGCATATTTGTTCAGTTAGGTGCTAAATCCACCCATCGTAACTACCATCTTATTTGCCTATGAGACATCCTGGGAAATTTTGCTAAATATTTTCATGCAGTTAAGATATATACGTTGACACCTTGACTCTCCCAGCCCCCAGAAGAAAGAAAATGAAGAGGAGGAGGAGAACAGAAGGAGGGAAGGAAGGAGGAAATCAGTTTGGCATGACTTTTAATAACAGAATCACCAGAAGTTGAAAGGCAGGAGAGGCCTTTAAATTGCCTAGAATTTACACAAAGTGCAAGGAAGTCAAGCAACTTGCCTAATGTCGTATAGGCAAATGGGTTGTCAAACTTTTTTGCCTATTACCATAGCCCAGGAGGCTTTTAAAACTCCCAGTGCTCAGACAGCACTGCATTAAATGAGAATCTCTGGGGGTTTAAAAAGACGGATGCCTGGGTCCCATCCCCAGAGATTGTGATGTAACCGGTACTGGGTGGGGGTTGGGCATCAAGATTTTTTTAAAACTCCCAGATGATTCTAATGTGCAGCCAAATTTGACAGTCTTTAATAGTGACAATGTTTGAGCAAACCCATGATGACACCTAAGGATCATCACATTTTCCTCTAAATGCTTTGACTCCATCTGTTTGGAACAGAATTTTTCCAAAGGTCATGTCAGGCTTATAAAGCGGTGGTTTCTGGCATCTCTTCTTTTCTCGTTTTTGAAATCTAGGCAGTAATTTACCCATCACCTGCCTTCTCTCTGTACTCAGAAATGTCTTTTTTTTTTTTTTTAAGATTTTATCCATTTATTTAGAGACAGAGAGAAAGGGGGGGGAGGAGCAGAGGGAGTGGGAGAGAGAGAATCTCAAGCAGACTGTGCACGGAGCATGGAGCAGACCAGGGCCCCACCTCACAACCCTGAGATCACCACCCGAGGTGAAACCTAGTCAAACGCTCAACCGACTGAGCCACCCAGGCATCCGTATACTCAGAAATGTCTTATAGGTTATGTGTAGCACCTCTGAGGACACATCTGCTGGGTTCCTTCATCACCCTTTGAAGTCCTGGTGACCTTCTCCACGTGCCTAGATCAGTGCTCTTTGACATGAGTATCACAAGACTCACCAGGGGAGGTTATTAAAACATGAAGACCTTCAGACTTTACCACCAGTACTCAGTCTGGAGGGTCTGGGAATCTGCAATTAGAATGCAGCCTTCAGGGGACTTTGACACAGGCGCTCCCAGATCTCAGGTGGAGAAACACTGCTCTCCGTTATTATCTCCTTTGGGCTTCACTTTCATCTTTATGCTATTTTTCCTACCCCTTTTTGTGAATACAGAAGAGTTGGGCATTGAGTAGGCAACACTGATTCAACAGGAAGAAGTGAGACATTTCAGGCTTGATTTTCTTTTTCCAGAAAAAAAAAAATAAAGCAATATCTCCCTAAAGGCATTTGGTTCTCAGCCACCCCTCAGTTCATTACACAACAAAAAAAAATTCCATATAAAAAATTCACTAGGAACTAAAACGCATCAAACTTGAGTATATTTCTGTTAGACTGTAAGCTCCATGGGTTCTTTCTTTCTAAATACTCTTTGAATCTCTGGCACCTACACAGTACCTTTCACATAGCAGGTGTTTGATAAATGCTAAATGCATTAACGGAGCTTTCTAAGCCAGGATCCTTTGTTTTCCTTTTAAAGATTTTATTTATTTATTTGGGAGAGAGAGAATGAGAGAGAGAGAGAGAGAGCACATGAGCGGGGGAAGGGGGTGAGGGGCAGAGGGAGAGGGAGAAGCAGACTCCCCCCTCTGAGCAGGGAGCCCGACTCGGGGCTCGATCCCAGGATCCTGAGATCATGACCTGAGCCGAAGGCAGACGCTTAAATGACTGAACCACCCAGGCGCCCCAGGCAGGGTATTTTAAAAAATTAATTGCTGGGGTGCCTGGGTGGCTCAGTCGGTTGAGCATCCAACTCTTGATTTCAGCTCAGGTCATGATTTCAGGGTTGTGGGGTCGAGCCCTGTGTCCGGCTCCACGCAGAGTCTGCTGGAGAGATTCTTTCTCTCCCTCTCCCTCCCCCTTTGCCCCACCCCCTGCTCATGCTCACTCACTTGTGCACACACACACTCTCTCTCTCAGATAAATAAATAAATAAAATCTTAAAAAAAATAATTGCTAAAAGTCAGTATTAGTCCATGACTTGGTGCACAGATACATGCTATTTGATTATACCAAAGCCTTTTATTAAACCAGAAAATGGGTAGTACTTCCTCATTTTTAAAGAAGATTTTAAAATCATGATGGAGAAAAACTGAGAATTGTTCTAGAATTCTTTGGTTATCAGGAAAAGATTTGCTATTGAAAAGTTTACATTATGAAATAAGTGTTAAGCAAGTTATTTTTAAACTGTTTTTTTTCCTTCAGGTAACAAGTAAAACAAACAAACCAAAAAGAGCTTGTTTTAATGCTCACCAAAACAAAAGCTGGGTAAGGCCAGGTGCCACTTAATACTCCCACACACTGCCCAAACTACACTGCCATCATCCACTTAAAGGCAGACAGGAAAACAAGTTTTTAAGCAATGTATGTCTCTTTGAGCACATCTCTAGCTGGCTGTAAAGCTGATAAAAATGATTTGGGGATTTTCCATTATTGAGAAAAATCGAAGCTCCTTCCATTTCCAGCCCTCTGTCAGCATTAGAAAAGCACTTAGTGTGCCAAAGAAGTCTCTGGAGAAATGATTCCGTAGGGCCTGAAATGGGTCCTCTAGCTCCAGAGGTGGCGAGTTTCTGCAGTGTTCACGAAGACCCAAGGAGGCCATAATCAGTGACATGTACACTGAAAAGGCGGATTTTGGCAAAAAACAGTTTGAAATTTGCCCGGTGCGGCTGCCCTACTAATATTTACATATCGAGGATGGCTTTAAAGCACAAACATGAAACACTGACTCATCATTGGCACTCACTTATAATCTGAAAGAGAAAAGCCTTCTAAGGCTTCTGCTGGAAGGTTTCACTGTACGTGAGGGCGGGGAGGGGAACTGAAGGGCCGAAGGGTTTGAGGTCCGGCTCTTTTCATCCCAATCACTTTTCATTTCCCAAGGTGAAAATACATGGAAAGAACAAATGATGGCCCTTGGAGCCAACCTAACCTCCGCCATCAAGCACCCTCCAAGGGCTAGCCCAACCTCCCCAAGTTGTTGTTATTCATTCTTTATTTTATTCCAGAGTACATTCTTCCTGAACTCCCACACCTCCACTCAGCTACCTGGACCTTGATTCTGCCTCTGGCGTTCTAGATGTGAATCGTGTGGTTTCCCGTGCTAAAGACTCAGCCTTTCTCAGAGGTGCCGCCTCTTATGAGAAATTCCTACTCTAGCTCTGGCCCTGAGGAACCCAAATCCAAAACCCAAAGTCGTTCAACGGGCACCACACTCCCACCCCTCAAAGTGGGAATTAAGTAGGCCGGCTTCATTCTTCCCCCTTTTGCACTGTGGAGACAGGAGCACGGAGGACAGACACCTCTTCAGGCTCACTGCAGCATTCTCTTTGCTATTCAGCAAAACAGGGGTTCTGTAGCCTGATGTCTGTGGCCTAAGGACAACCAAGGGGCCTAGAGTAGGGTAGAGGAGGCCCTGGCGGACGGTGCTAAAGGGGCCCCTTCCATCACCACCTTTCCTGGAGAACACTGTAGCGTTTCCTTGTTCATATCCTTGTGTCTGGGGGCTTAAATGAAGGGGAAGTCTGTGAGACCGACCCAGTGACTCTTCCCGGGTCTCATCAGATGAAAGGATAAGAAGAGGGAGGAGACCACACTGACCACCAGAAGGTGTCTGAAGGTATCTGTTGTTGTATCAGACAGGATGGTCATCGAGAGGCAGCTTGGCCTGGTGCCAGGTTTTCCACAACATGTTTGTGGAAGAGTAGTTCTCTGTGCTTTATGATTCTAGGAATAGGGCAAAAAAAGGTCCCACAATGGAATAAGTTGAGGAGAAGTAGAATTAAACAGATTTCTTGACTGCAAGATTCCTCAGAGCCTTCAAGATGTTAATATGCATCTCTAACGGGAATCTCTAAGAAAGAGCCAGAGTGTCCACTGTTTCCCAAACAGCCTAGCAGGGGACCCTTTTGAGGTAAAGCATCTCAAGAGCATCTATTGTTCCTAACTGCTTCATGATGGCTCAGTAGAGCCTGGGGTTTAAAGGTCAAACAAACTGGGAGTATCGGGCTGGCTCAAGTCAGTAGAGCATGTGACTCTTGATCTCAGGGTGGTGCGTTCAAGCCGCACGTTGGGTGTGGAGCCTACTTAAATAAAAATTCATTAGTTAATTAACTAATTAACATTAATTCCACTGCACCTCAGTTTTCTCTTAATAGGAATAATAACGCCCACCTTCCAGGCTTTGTACTGAGGACTACTGAGGAGCTCAGGGGTGGAAAAAAACAGCTTGAACAAAAAGCAATTCTTCTTAGCTGAATGAGTCAGGAGGGGCCATGCATGGGTGGGTGCCCACCCTGTACAAGTGCTGAAACGAGCCTATGTTTGCTCAGATCTCTTCCTTCAGAATGCATGGTCTGGGACCTCCAGAGGCTAAAACCCTCGGGTGTCTACTCCTTCTGGGATAATTGTAGATTCATAAGAAATGAACTCTCTTCCTCTGAGAGCACTAAGATCTGAAAGAATGCTATGCCAGTAATAATCATAATAGCTAAAATCACTACTATTTATTAAGGGACTGCTGTTTACCCAGCCCAGTGGGTGCTTTATATTTCTCTTACTCCAGTTAATCTTCACAGCAATTCTTAAGGTGGTACCATCACTCCCGCATTACAGATGAAGAACTGAGACTCAGAAATTAAATATGGCACTCCGTGGCACAGTTGACTAGTGGCAGCCCTGAAGACCCATTCTGTTCAATGGTGAAAGAACAAAAATGTCCACTAAAGGGTTAGCTACACCTTGGTTTCAGAGCCAGTCTGAAGCACTACATCACTAAAGAGAATTCTCAAACACTTCAAGGAACTCTGTTTCCCTTTCCTATAGAGAGATGGAAACCCAGTGATCCTCTAAGATAGTAAGAGGCAAGGGAGCTACAGGAAGATTTCTGAACATGAAGTTGTGTAGTGGGCCTTGGGTAATGGCCCCACAAAGGGTCTAGAAGGGTTTCTCAAAGTATCTCTTCCCTCATTTCTAGTCCTCACCCAAGTGACCACAGAGTTTTTCCAAACATCAAATTCCTTTGCAACCCTTCAAATTGCAAAGTCATCTGTACACCTTTTTAAGACAAGGACAACTGATTAGGAATCAGACTCTTTGAGGAAAAAATCACTCCGGGAAATTGCAAAGCAATAAAATAAACTCTAAGGCGTACAGGTTTCCTGTCCCATTGCTACACAATAGATGTTTATAATGTAGACTTCTGCTTGCTCAAAATACCTAAGAACAAACAAACACATTACCTCTTTCTTCTGCTTGGCAAATGCGGAGGTTTTTCCTCACTCCAGGTGTTTCAAGAGACACAAAAACAAGAAAAAAACCTTCTCTATGAGGGATGCAGAGGTCTGAAAGAAAAGAGGTACAATTCCAGCTCTCTGGAGCACCGCCCCCACCCCCCCACACACACGCACACACACACTCCACATCTCACACCTCTGTATCTCTCTGCAGGGAGAACTCTTGCTTAAATAAATCACAAATAAATCAAGAAATAAATACACATGCACAAAGAAATAACTCGAACAGGCCACGGCTGCTTTTTGCCTTTCAGCCTGGAAGGCGAGCCCAGAGCCACAGATCCGGGTGAGGCCGGGTTGGCCTGGGAGTCGCCACTGTCTGCCCCGACCCTGCCCTGTTCCCGCCTCGGCTTGGAGAGCAAGAGACACACTCACGTAATGGGCTGCGGTCACACGACTGCTTTCCAGGGGACCCGGCCCTGGACAGGCAGGGCCAGGCCTCTGTTGGCATAAGTAATCTGCATCGGTACAAAACACACGAGGAATTTTACTAGGTAAGGGCAGAAGAACGTTCAGTGGCTAACCCTTTAGGCCCACCGAGGCTGATTTTTAGGCAACACGGCAGCCACTGGGTATGACTAAGAGGTGTGGGCACGCTCTACATTCCTCCTTGAACTTGAAAGGGCACGGGGCGCAGGGAGCAGCCCTGGGTGCTGTACTGCCGCTCTATCCCTCTCGCTGTTCCATTAGCTACGTGATGGAGAACCCGGCTGGGAGAGAGAGATTCACCTCCCTTCCGCGGCAGGAAGGAAACTGAGAGTCGACCTGTAATTTTGCTGAGTTTGAGAAGGAAGAGGAGGGAGACGCATTTGGGAAACGAGGTGCTGCTGGTAGGATGGGGGCCGCCAGGCACGGTTCTGGCATCTTTCGAGGCTGTCCGGGGTGATCTTGCTCCCACAGGCTCAAACTGACTGCAGCTGCACCCACAGCAATTCTCTCCCCAGTGCTGCCTGGCTGGTAAGCCAGCATCTGTTTTTGAGCTTCCTGGCCTTCGGCATCGCAAGCTAGGATTTAAAGGACTCGGGCCAAAATCATTTCATAACCCCACCCAAGCTGCTCTTTAGCCAACTCCTCTCTGCACTCGAGAGCCATAGGCCATCCAGGGAAGTGGTTACCTCGCTTGCTATTTAATCTAATGGGGTCACTTTAAAAATACCTGGAAAGGCAGCTCTGGGCTTCTGTACTCCTATTAGCATATTAAATATTATCAGAGGGCCTCATTACGAGGCAGTACAACCGTACAGGTTTCCATGGCAGGGTCTCCAAGACTAGGACCTGATGAGGCTGCCATTCGCTTTGTAAATGATAGCGTCATTACCCAGGTTCTCAAACAAATAGCGGACCATGTCGCTCTACAGCTATGTTTCCGGCCAAATGCCTATTCAGTCCACAGGGGTTAAATGATGGCTATGTCTAGATACGGTTGTTCAAATGTCAACTCCTCTGTGTGAAGCCTTTCCCAAATCGCCAAAGGGGAGTTAGGCCCTCCGTCTTCTGGCTCTCAAAGCCATGTGCGCGTCCAATTATAGAGCTTCCCAAAGCGCACTGTAATTTGTCCTCTTACATAGGAAATCCTGAGGAAAGGATCCATTTCGTTCCTCTTGGCGTTCCTGGCACCAAATGCATAAGAGGTACTCACGAGATGCTTGTTTCATCACAGAAAGAAAGGAAAGGAGGGAAAGAACTCGTGATTTAGGTGGTTATTTTAATGGTCAGCCTCTGGACCATGAACTGCATTAGCTGTACTCTTTATGTGATCTATCTAAAACTTTGAATTCACTTAAAATGAAGAACTTCACCATATTTTTCCACTGTATGAAGAATGCTGAAATGTGACTTTGAGCACCACAAAGAGTCTTATAGCCAGCCTCCAATTGCTGAATGAACCAGCACTGACAAATGCGAATAGATGGTAATAATAACATTTATTGAGCACGTGCTAGGTTCTAGGCACTTGTTAATTTTATATGTATTAATCTTATTTCATCCACACACCATCCTATGAGGCATATACTATTATTATCATTCCCATTCACACTTCAGGACCTAGAGCCCAAAGTCAAACAGCAAATGGGTGGCAGAGCTGGGATTTGAACCCAGGCACTTAGACTCTCGAACCCCTACTTATGATCCTTACACTATACTGCCTCGGTCAGCACCTTATGTGTTTGCAAAATGAAGGTCTCAGCTTCTTCTCAGATGCTCTCTGACTTTCCTCCAGCTGAACAGGGATGTCTTCTCCCAGCCTGAAAACAGAAAAAATAATTGGCAAAGTAACGTTCACAGTTTTAAACTCACTTGTTAACAGACTTGGGCCCCAAACAGTTGAGGTCAATGTCTCTCTCTCAGTGGGCACATCATCGTATGAAAACAGCCAACAGGAAAGGTTGGAAAAGGTCATGGCCATACCAAATCACCCTGAACTAAGGTGGCTTGTGCTCTTCAATTTGACACAATTCAACACAACACTCTGAGCACCCCTACGTGGCAGGCGCTGCTGAAGGACAGGGACATAGCAGGTGAACAAAATGGACACGATTAGGTGGGGCAAACAAGAAATTGAAATAAAATCACAAATTAAAATCTTCTTCTCCTATTGGAATATGAATTTTCCAGGTACCTAAAACAGTGCCGGGCACATAATAGAAATTTATTACATGAATAAATAAAAGCAATATGGTACGATAAGATCTCTAATGGGACAGGGACGGGGTGCAGAGAAAGAGCCCCATCCCAGTAAGGGGGATGAAGGAAGGCTTTCTAAACGAAGTGTCACTGGGGTGCCTGGCCAGCTCAGTTGGTAGAGCAGAGCGGGGTAACTCTTGATCTCAAGGTTGTGAGGACAAGCCCCCTGTTTGGGCATAAAGCTTAGTTAAGGAAAAAGGAAAGAAAAAGAAAAGAAGTGATGCCCCACCCAAGACCTGACGACTGAGCAGCCAGAAGTTAGAAGTTAGCCGAGAAGAAAAGAGGTGGGGGAGAGAAGAAAGTGTTCTTGCCGATAATGTGTATTTCACAGTCCTTAACAAGGATGTGAGATGGGAGAGGTAAGACAAAAATCAGAATGCCCTGAGCTCCCAATTACAATATTGCAAGTAGATGTACAAGTGGGTAGAGAAAAGTGCCCGTCTGCTGTTTTATTGAAAAATGGCAGCCTCTCTACCCCAGCAGGCTGGACTTGCTCTTTCTTGGCTATCTTGGCTGTCTCTCCTTCCTTTCTCCCTTCCCCATTTCCCTACCGGGTTTGCCTTCACCTTCCTTGCTCTCAAATGCCTGTCTCAGGGTCTGCCTCTGAGCGAACCTAGACCAGGACACTTGGTTAGTCTATGGTGGCAGCAAGCTATGGAGAGACAGAGGGGAACGGAGAGGCTGGTTACCTCACAAGGGACAGACTGAGCATTGCCGGCGGACCTCTCCTACCCCACAAGTGTCCTGGAGTCGGCCCCAGTTCCATCTTCTACCAAGGAAAAGTAATCCTAATGGGCAGCTCCTAGTATTGGTCATGACACACACTGGGGAACATGCTAGACTCTAGACAGAGCAGCTGGATATGGGAAGAGACTGAGAAAAGAAACAACGTGTGCTGATCTGTTAGGTGGTGAGGACTTAAGGTGTCTGTCCACTCATGGCCCCTGATACCTGAATGCCCAGTAGCAACCCTTTGGACAGTAGAAAGCAAAATATTAGAAATCATATTTTTATCTATTTTTAAATTCTTTAATTTCCTACTTTCATGTATGTTTGGTAATGTACACAATACGTGAGTTCAGTAGTATTAATTACAAATACATTACCATACCCATATTAGGGGTCCATTCTCAAAGAGCTTGTACTGTGACAGGTTCACGATCAAAAACATTCAAAGAATCTTGATTTAAAGAGCCTTTTATTTTATTTTTTTATTTATTTAAAGATTTTATTTATTTATTTATTTGAGAGAGAGAGAATGAGAGATAGAGAGCACGAGAGGGAAGAGGGTCAGAGGGAGGAGCAGACTCCCTGCCGAGCAGGGAGCCCGATGTGGGACTCGATCCCGGGACTCCGGGATCATGACCTGAGCCGAAGGCAGTCGCTTAACCAACTGAGCCACCCAGGCGCCCTTAAAGAGCCTTTTAAAGAGAGGAAAGGAATACCAAGTAATTTTATGTTTCAATAAAGAGAAAGGATCAAACATATCTCCAGGGATGAATTCTGGGTATTGAAAAGCCACATTAAGTAAGAGAAAAGAGAGGCCAAATTTGGCAAGTCATTAGAAAGCCATCAAAAGAAATTAAAAGTGGGTTACAATTCACTATCGAGGGAAAGAAATTCATAAAGGCCAGTGCTGACCAGATGTATCTGTTGGGGTCACCTGGTCAGCAGCCACAATGACAGGCTGAAATAGCTGTCATTATGTGTTGAAGTTTACAAGGTCAGCCTTGAGAAGGCTACAAAAGTTGAGCTCTCCATGGTTGTAATTTAATAAACAGAAGATTGGTGGGTATGAGAATTTAAATTTTGACCACTGCTTAATCTAACCCTAGCTTGGTCCTAGATGGCTTTAAGTTAAAACCAACCAACCAACAAACAGACTCCTAAAATTAACCCTGAATGTTCAGAAATCAAATCAAAAAGCTTCATAGAGAGTCACGGTCTGGGTAGACTAAGGGCACACTACCCACTCCACCTGTCTCTCCTGCAGAATGAAGCTGTAAAACACCTGGACAGGATCCATGGAGCAGCTATCTGAGGACTGTGGCAGGCAGACCCAAGATGGCCCCCAACAATCCCCGCCTCCTGGTATTCATGCTCTTGTGTAATCCCCTCTCCTTCAGTGTAAGGCTGGACCTAGCTAGTGACTGATTTCTAATCAATCAAATACGGCAAAGGTGTTGGCATATTGTTTCTGTGACTAGGTTATAAGACTGTGACTTTCCGTCTTGCTAGCAGACTCTCTCTATTGCCTTCACAGCTTGTGTGCTTTTGATGAAGTAAGCTGCCATGTTGGAGAGGCCTACATGACAGAGGACTGAAGGAAGTCTCTGACCAAAAGCCAGCAAGGAACGGAGGCCCTCGGTCAAACAGACCTCAAGGAAATGAATCCTGCCAACAACCACTTGAGATTGGAAGTGGACCCTTCTCCGGTTAAGCCTTCCGATGACTGTGGCCTAGCGAACACCTTGACTGCAACAGCTCTTGGGGACCCAGGTAAGCCATGCCCGGACTCCTAACCAAAACCCACAGAAGCTGTGAGATCATAAATGTGCATGTTAAGCTTCTAAGGTTTTTGGTAATTTGTTACATAGCAATGAATAAGTAACACAAGGACTCGGAAAAGTAAGTAGCAGAAGGAAGATTGAGGAAGATCAGAGTTTGAAGTATCACAAAACTGGTGGTGAGTTGGCCATTTTCTTCCCTCCAGTTCCCCTAGCCTGGATCTGAGGAAGCAAACATTCAAAATAAAGCCACAATGAGATAACACAGTACACCTATTAGGACAGTTAAAAACAATCTAATCATACCCAGCGCTGGTTAGGATGTAGCGTGACTAGAACTCTCATGCTTTGCTGGTGAGAATGCAAAATCGTACATTTACTCTGAAAAAATAGTTCGGTAGTTTCTTGTAAACTTGAACATACACTTTTACCATATGACAGTGCAATCCTACCCCTGGGTATTTACTCTAGAGAAATGAAAGTCTATATTCACACAAAAGCATATGCATGGGTTCATACGGTCAAACACTGCAAAAAGCCCAGATGTCCTTCGGTGGGTGAATGGATGCATGTCTGTGGGACCTCTGTACAATGGACTACTACTTAACAAGAAAAACAAATTATTGATACACACAACCTGAATGAATCTCAAAGGCATTATGTTGAATAAAAGAACCCGTCTTAAAATGTTACGTACATTTCTGTGACATTCTTGGGACGATAACGCCACAGTGATGGAGAAGTGCTCAGTGGTTGTCAGGGCTAATGGGGGGGGTGACTACAAGAGGATAGCTTTGGGGGGCAGTGTTCTGTGTCCTAATTAGGGTGGTGGTTACACTAATCTAGCCATGTGTCCAGATTCACAAAACTGTACAAGTCGACTTTACTGTACATGAATTTTAAAAGAAAAAGCTTCAGAGCTGGCTCTGGTTTAGTGCCTTGGGGTCTGCGAGATATTAAAGTCCCCGTGGGCTGACTCTGCCAAGGGCCGCCCTAAATCCCAGCCAGAAGCAGCACCTTCTACTGTAAACTACGAGCGCTAAGGAAAACACTGGCCCTTCCCTCGGACTTCACCTTTGGCTCTCTATCCATGAGCAAAACTCAAAAAACAGAGATCCCAGTCAGAAAATGTACCCCAACCATTCTTTATTCAACAGGTACTTACTGAGCATGTTCTAGCTACAAGGCAGGGATACAAAAATGAATACATTCTGATCCATCTCCCTTGCAGGTTCATGGTTGAATGAGGGACACGGGTCTGTCCACAAGTAATTTCAAGACAGGAGGTGTAGGTACAGAGATATGCCCACATACTGTTGGAGTCTAGAAGGATAGTAGTTCTGCCAGGGCAAGTGAGGAAATACTTCATAGAACATGCAAGGTGGGAAAAGGCATTCCAGGGATCATAGGCGCATGATATATTTGAGTAATGTTTCCTGAGACTTGGGGGGAGGGGGTGTATAGAGCAGAGGATGGGGAGGTAGGTTGGGACCAGCTGTGATCATTCCTGTAAACCCTAACAAAGAATTCAGATTTTAACTCATCAGTCAGGGATTACAATTTCAAATGCTCACATGGGCTGGGGCAGGTGAGATAAATGAACAAAGCAGCCTAGGTGGAAGTGATGGGACATTCTAGAGAGTTTGTGTCTGAATGAGGCAGCTGCTACCTACTGGTAGCTCCCTCCTAGTCTGCCATCCAGAAATCCTGGCCCAGGGTTGCCCAGTGTAATTTTTCAAGAGAAGCTGAACATATTTTTATGTAAAATCTCCCTACTTTTAAATGTCAGTGTATTTCTGCAAATTTAGGATGCCATCGACTATAAGGTACATCATTATTTTACGTACCAAGAAGAAGGAAAAAAGCCACCCATCAAACCATGGCACTCCATTGATTTTAAGACACATCCCAATCTCAGAGGTGCTAAAATGTGAAAAGCACGGTCATCTTAGAATCAATGAAATGCAGTCATTCTCATCTTCTCAAAACACGGTACAAGCTCCACGGATTCAGTGTGAGGCTGCCAGATGGTGAATTCGATCTCTAAGTGAAGG